TTTTGAATTTTGAGTTCCAAATTCTCTCCCTCCCTCCCCTAACTGAGAAGGCAAGTAATTTGATATAGGTTTACTAAAGCTCAACTATGCACAAACCAACAGACTCAAACCTTACTCTCATATTAACTGGTTAAAGGAGAGGAGAATACATATACAAACACAATTGGGTACAGAAATTCTTACCCACAGAAGTAGGAGGGAAATGAGTTAAGAGTAACGGGATGGGGGAATGAGAAGGAACATGGATTAAGGGAGGCAGTGGTTAGAAACAAAACAGATTTTTTTTTCTTCTTTTTAAAAATTTTAGACAAATGCTAAAACTTAAATACATAACAAGAAAAAAAGAAACATTGTAAACTTAAATATAAAATAAGAAAAAACAAAAAAATGTCATGGGCACAGCAGAACATAGGAGAGGATTCAAATTATATAGCAATAACTTTTCATTTCAAGAAAGCCTACATATTAAATATTGTTCATTATGTTGAAAGCTGTCCATCATCTCTTTGCTTCCTTGTAGGTTTTCTTTTGTTCTTCTGCATATCTCTTTGTTTTTCCTATCTCTCCTAATTCCTCTACTTTACTTCTGCCTGCTACCTTACCCTATTAGCTGACCTACCCCTACTCCTATAATTCTTTATCTTCCCATTCCTCTACATTTAAGCCCACTTCTATATCCCCCTTTTAACCTATTCCCACACCCTCCGTTCTTTTTTTAAAAATTTTTTTATTAATTTATTTTCATTTATCAACAATCACTTCCATATGCTTTTGAGTTTAAAATTTTTCTCCCCCTTCCTTCCCACCACTCTCCCCAAGACAGAGCTCTATCCACTGCGCCATCCAGCTGCTCCAGGACAATTTTCTTTAATTATTTCTTATATTATTGTGTCAAGATTCTTTTTTTGATCACAACTTTCAGGGACTCCAATTATTCTTATGTTTTCTCTTTTTTATCTATTCCCTAGATCCATTGTTTTTCTTATGAGGGGTTTCACATTCTTTTCTATTTTTTCATTCTTTATATATTTTTTTTATTTGTTCATCTCTTATAACTTTGATGGTTTCCCCTTTCCCAATTCTGATTTTCAAGGAGTCATTGTCTTCCTTAAGATTCTGGATCTCCTTTTCTAATTGGTTGACTTTCTTTTCATGATCTTCTTGTTTTTCTTGTATTATTCTTATTTTTCTTTTTAGTTTTTCCTCAGTCTCTCTCATTTGATTTTTAAAGTCTTTTTTAAGTTCTTTGATGAGTTCTTTTTGGGCAGGTGACCATTTGACATTACTCTTCGGGGTAGAAGAGAGTTTCTTTGCTTTAGTATCCTCCTCTGAAGGATCTTCTCTATTCCCATAATAGCTCTCTATGGTTGGATTCTTTCTCCTTTGCCTGTGCATTTTTTGGTAATAATTTAGTTTTTATAATTACCTCTAGTCCTGGGGTATGGGGGATGGTGCCTCTAATCTTCTTCAGTTCACCCTTCTGACCTTAAACTCAAACCAAGACCTCCACCTCCTGTAAGTGCCCACAGCAGAGGCATTTCCCCCCTCCTCCCACTGCTTCTGCATTCACTGGGCATGTATGCAAAACAGATTCTTAAAGAGGGGACCGGGAAAGAAAGAAAAGGAAAAGTATAAGAGAAAAGGATGGAAGGAAATAGTTAGCAGCCATAACTATGAATATGAATGGGATGAACTCACCTACAAAATGGAAGAGGATTGCAGATCAGATTAGAAGGTAGAATTTAACACTGTTGTTTATAAGAAACATACTTGAAACAGAAAGATACATAGACTTAAAATAAGGGCCTGGAGTAGAATCCATCATGCTTCAGCTTAATTAAAAAAAGAGCAGGAGGGCAGCTAGGTGGCGAGGTAGATAGAGCACTGGCCCTAGAGTGAGGAGGACCTGAGTTCAAATCTAGCCTCAGAGACTTGACATTTACTAGCTGTGTGACCCTGGCCAAGTCACTTAACCCCATTGCCTAGCCAAAAAAAACCCCCCAAAAACAGGGGTAGCAATCATGATCACACACAGAACAAAAATAAAAATAGAACTAATTAAAAGAGATAAACAGGGAAACTATGTTTTCCTAAAAGGTACAAGACCTGCCTTGCAGGACATACACTGGGACTATATGAACATAGTTATGAAAAACTTTTCACAAAAGTAAAGACCTCTAAATAACTGAAGAAATATTAATTGCTCATGGGTAGATTGTTAAAATAATAAAAATGATAATACTACCTAAATTAGTTTACTTATTCATTGCCATCATACTCAAGCTACCAAAGAATTGCTTTATAGAGCTAGAAAAAAAATAACAAAATTCATCTGAAGGAACAAAGATCAAGAATATCATGGAAATCAATGAAAAAAAAGGGAAGGAAGGGGGCCTAGTAGTAACATATCTCAGACTATATTACAAAATTGTAATCGTCAAAACAATTTGGTACTGGGCTAGAAATAGCAGCTAGGTGGCACAGTGGACAGAGTCTAGAAGACTCTTCTTCATAAATTCAAATACAGCTTCAGATACTTACTACCTGTGTATCCCTGGCCAGGTCACTTAACCCTGTTTGCCTCAGTTTTTTCATATGTAAAATGAGCTGGAGAAGGAAATGGCAAACCACTCCAGTATCTTTGCCAAGAAAACTCCAAATTGGGTCACAAAGAATCAAACACAACTGAACAATAACAGCAACAACAACAAAAAAGAGTTTGATCAGTGGAACAGATTAGTTACACAATATACAAAAGAAAATGAAAACAGTAACCTAGTGTTTGATAAACTCAAGTATCCTAGCTATTGGGGCAAGAACTCACTATTTAACAAAAACTGTTCGGCAAATTGGAAGTATTCTGGCAGAAACTACATGTAGACCAACATCTCACACTTTATACTAAAATCAGCTCAAAATGGGTACAGGATTTAGATATAAAGGGTGACATCATAATTAATGGAGCATAAAAGAGTTTACCTGTCAGATGTATGGATAGAGAAAGAGTTCATGACCAAACAAGAGAAAGAGGTTTGCAGAAGTTAAAATGTATAATTTTGAATACATAAAATTAAAAAGTTTTTGCACAAACAAAACAAATGTAGCTAAAATTAGAAGCAAAGCAGGAAACCGGGGAAAAATCTTCATAGAAAGTTTCTCTAATAAAGGTCTCATTTCTAAAATATATAGGGAAATGAGTCAAATTTGCAAGAATAAAAGCCATTCCCCAAATGGCCAAAAGATATGACTAGGCAGTTTTAAGAGAACGAAATCCAAGCTGTCAACAACCATATGAAGAAATGCTCTAAATTACTAATAGAGAAATGCAAATTAATACCAGAGATATCACCTTATGCCCATCAGATTGGCTAAGACGACAAACAGGCACATTAATGCATTGTTGGTGGAACTGTGAACTAGTCTAGCCAGTCTAGAAAGCAATTTGGAACTATACCCAAAAGCTATTTAACTGTGCATAATCCAGTGACACTGCTACAAAGAGATCAAAAAAGCATAAAAAGGAATATTTATGGCAGCTTTTTTTGTGGTGATAAAGAATTGGAAACTGAGGGAATGCTCATCAATTAGGGAATTGCTAAACAAGTTAAGGTATATGAATATGATGGAATATTATTGTGGTATAAGAAATGATGAAAGGGGGGCAGCTAGGTGGCCCAGTGGATAGAGCACCAGCCCTGGAGTCAGGAGAACCTGAGTTCAAATCCGGCCTCAGACACATAACACTCACTAGCTGTGTGACTCTAGGCAAGTCACTTAACCCCAATTGCCTCACCGGGAAAAAAAAAAAAAAAAAAAAAAAAAGGACTGTTTTGGTGGAGGAGGTAATAGATGCAGAACAACGCAGTCTTCCTAGGTAGGACAATGATACACTGAATCTGGCTCCAATTTGTACTGGATTTGGTTTAAAAAGACCTTGGTTCAAATCTGTTTAGCCATTTATTAAGCTTTCTGACCTGTGGCAATAACAACCTCTTTGGGCCTCAGTTTCCTTATCTGCAGAATGATACTGTTTTAATAGATGCTTTCTAAGGTCTATTTTAACTTTCAATCCTGTGAGACTATGTGATTTTTAAGAAATTTTTCTTGGAACAATCAACTTTGGTCATTTTATCAACCATTATGGAACCTTTAAGAAGTACACTTATTCCCTTATCTACACCCCCCTCCCACCATTTTCCCTTTTCCCGGTTGTGGAACAATAACCAAATCATAGCTGCTGCTGCTACTGAAAAAGGTGTATCCATTAAGGTTCCACTTACTGTCCGAATGCCCTTCTAAACCACAATACCCTGTTCCCACTAGTCATGTCAGTTCCCAGTTTATGTTGTCACTTATTAAAAAGGAAGCTCCCTGAAAGCAGAGTGTTTTAGCTGCAGTTTTTATATTCCCAAGGTTGAGCACAATGCTTGGCACCGTTAAGTGTTTAATAAAACATTGTAAAAATTCATTCATTTATTGAAGTGGAATGGAGAAGTCGCAACCAATGGTGAATAAGAAAAAGGAAGGAAAGTCAAGGCTCCCAGAAAATACCCTGAACATTGGCCCCAACTTTCCTGGGACAAAGTCTAAACCATGTCTCCCTACCTTGAATGAAATGCCAAATATCTTCTGTTAGCCTGCAGTTCTTTATTATGCGCTTTAGAAAAACTAGAAGGAAGCCCTGATCTTTGAGGACCTTTGCTAAATCAGGTGCCCACTAAGGTTGCAAGCTTTATGCATGGCTTAAACAATTACAAAGTCAAATGTTTACACAATTTCCATGCCGCATAACCCTAATTTAAAGAAGGATCCCTATTTAGTTTTAGGATCCCATTTTCTCTAAGAATCTCCCTTAAGTTCTTCTTTATGTGGTGGAAAGAGAGGGTGGGTGGTTGGGGGGGGGCTATGGAAAATGAAAGACAGGACGCAGAGGGCTTGCCTGCTGCAACCACGTGGCCAGAGGGAATCAGAACACACCGCGCTAAACCGAGAGAGCAGTGCGCAGGCGCGATCGATTTGTCAGCTCACTATTGCTTGCGCCTGGAATACGTGGTGCAAGGGGGAACGTTCTGTGTTCGAGCGATTGAGCCTGAACGAGGACCGGGGACGCGCACGCCGGAAGAGGCTCGCCACAGTCGTACATGCTCGTGGCCGCGGCCCAGCTCCCGGCCTTCTAGTCGTCCGGTACTTCGCTGTTGTGGGAAACGGCTGCTTCCGCCGCCTTTCCGCGGCCAGCTGCCCGGGAGGGATGTCGAGGAGTTCCAAGGTGGTGCTGGGCCTCTCTGTGGTGCTCACGGTGGGTACAGTCGTCGGGGTGCATATTCGGCAGAAGCAAGACCAACAGGTCAGGACCACGTGATATAGCCCCGTTTTCCCTTCCCCCCTACCTCCTCCAGTCCTGGGAGGGGCGGGGTGTCTCGGGACGTTCTCCGCACTCCGCTCGCGGGCACTAGGAGGCTGCGGCTGCGCCTGCGTGCTCCGGGGCCCCGCCTCCCGGCCTGACTTCTCTCCGGCCCGCCACTTCCCCTTCCTCTTCGCGTGGTCCCCACTGTCCTGTAGCCTTTTCGTTCGCGCTCTCGCCCACCGAAAGGCCAGCGGCCCGTAGTGAGGTTTCGCCCTTGTCGCCCGTGACGGTGATATTAACTGTTGCTTTGTTCTCCGAATCTCCTTACGCACCTACAAAATGGGGCAAGTCTTAGTATTACCGCTCCGGGGTTTTGGTGTGAAGAATGGGCCTGTAAAACTCAAAACGCTCTGTAAACGTGAGTCATGTTACATGTGCTTATGCCTTGTCTCCTTCCTAGGCTGTAAGCTCCATAACCTCGGGGTGTTCCCGTGTATAGAGCCCTGCACCTGGAATCAGGAAGACCCGAATTTAAATTCGGCCTCACGCTTATCAGCTGTGCGGGTCACTCCTGCCTGCTTCAGTTTCATTTGCAAAATGGGATGATAATAGCACCTACTTCTCGGGGTGTGTTGTGAGGTGGTTGTAAATGAGATAAATAGTTGTGAAATGTTTTGTAAACCTTGAAGTGTTATGTTAATGCTAGTTGCTACAATTATGTAACAAAATACATAACAGGTTACGGGACTATTGTTAATTTATTGTTATTGTGTTTTAGCTAAGTGGAGAAGTGGTCGGAGTGCTAGACAGGAAGATCTGTTTGAATCTTCTCTCACACGCTTAGAAGAGGTATAACATTGGGAAAGTCACTTAAACTCAATCAGCCTCAGTTTCCTCTTCTGTAAAATAGAGATAATAGCAGCTCCTACCTCACCAGGTTGTGAGGATGAAATATAATAAAATACGTAAAGATCTTTACAAGCTTCATCGTGCTGTATGGGCAAGCTATCACTTGTCCCAGGATCACACAACTAGTGTGTGTCTGAAGCCATATTGACCCTCCAGTTGTCCTGACTCCAGGAAGAGGTGCTCTATCCCCTGTGATGCCTACCTGCCCTCGATGCAGATTTATCAAGCTTAAATTTGTTTTTTTTCAGCTTCCACTCTTTGCTTCTCAACAAGAAGAACAAATCTAATCCCTCTTCCTTGTGGAATGGTCCTTCAAATACTTGAAAACTGCTATTATTTACCCTAGGGCTTCTATTTTCTAGACTCCTCGTTCCTTCAGATACTCAAGTGACATAATCTCAAGACTCTTCAATCTTCAATCTTCTAAAATGTTAATAGGCCTAAGGCTCTTAGGATAGAGATAGTCTTTTATTTTCCTGTAACATCTAATACAGTACTAGGCAATCCAAGCCATTAAAAATTTACTAAGCACCTAACGTGTAAAGAACTGTATTAGTCATTGAGAATATAAAGACATGGAAACCAAGCTTTGCCCTAAAGGAGTTAATTAATATTCTACTGAGGTATATAGCATTTAAATAGGTAAGTATGTACTAGATAACTTGAGGGGACATCAAGTAATTTTTCAGAACAGGCTTGATGAATAAATGACTGAAGGAATGCTTGCTGAAAGCCTATTCTCATTTTACTAATCCTCTACAAAAGGTAGTATCTTCCCAAACTTGTCTTTAACTATGCTGTATTTATGTTTGCTTTCTCTATATGTACATATATGTATGTATATGTAATATAAACATGTTTTATACATATATTTAAGTTTCTACAGAACGCATTACACAAGTATGTGTGTATATACGTATATAAAATACATATACATGTACTTGTATCCTCTGGAATGTAAGCTGTTTGAGAGTAGGAATAGTTATATTCTTTGTATTTGTATGCCCAATGCCTAACATAATGTTTGGCAAGTAGTAGGTGCTGAATAAATACTTGTTTGATTACATATGAGCTGTTTTCAAGTACTGAAGGTTGTCATTTTCTCTTTGTTTGATCAACAACATGATTACCAGTGATGAGTTTTATGGAGTAATTCGATACTCTTTTTCTAAATATATTAAGTCACCTTTTGGGGGGCAGGTTATTTTTGGTATTCTTTACTTCTTAGATAGTTTTTACACCTTTCTTTTTTTCAACAATTTCACCTGAAGTAGATTTTATTATACTTGATTCTTGCAATAAATAAAAAATATATTCTTTTTCCCAATTCTTATTTGTTAATGAGTGAAGATACTTTATGGTAACTGATACAATACCGAGGTATTGTAATTTTAAGCTACAGTGAAAACACTGTGCTTCTAAATTGTTAGATCGTATTCTGGTTTAGAAAAAAAATCCTAGGTAGCCTTATTCTTTACTTTCAGTTAATTCTTAAGCCTTCAGAAGTTTTCCAGGAATGTTATGAAAATGTTTTGTTAAAATGATATATAGTTGCACTTGTTAAAACATAAGATTTATTTGCTGTTTATTAAAAATATTCTGTATCATATGCATATTTGTAGTTAGGTTAATTAAGACAAACACTATCTGGATTTGTGCTTAGAAATTTGGAAATCTGAAGTGCATCTTGGTGGCTCTTTGTTACTTAAGTTTCTTGTGTTTTAGAGGCTTCGAGACGGAGTGCTCAGAGATATAGAGAGGCAAAATCGGAAAAAAGAAAATGTTCGTCTTTTGGAAGAACAGATTATTTTGACTGAGCATCTTGAAGCAGAAAGAAAGATGTTACTGGCAAAAGGTTCTCAAAAAACATGAGTCTTGAAGTGAATGAAATATTAACGAAACGGGTTTAGATTGTTTTTTTTTTTTTTTTAGCTATGTCGTTGCGTAAGTTAAGTGATTGCTTCCACCAATATAATTTTTTCTGCCCTTTAAACATTTAAATAAAAGAACAGTGGTTTATATCACTTAAGTTTTAAAACTGCTTAAAAAATTCCTTCTATTGAAGTGATTTTAATTGTAATCATTCACTTTTTAAAGACAGCCACTTTTTATCTGTTATGAACAATATTAACTGGGTAACCATACCCTAGGGTTGTCATTGAAAAAAATCTTCCTGGCAAGAAAGGATGGATAATAATGTCCACATTAGTGGGCTAATGAGTCGTCATGATGATGACGCTACAAGGACATCCACCTCTGAAGGTCTGGAAGAAGGTGAAGTGGAAGGTGAAACCCTCCTAATTGTTGAATCTGAAGATCAAGGCTCAGTGGATTTATCTCATGATCAAAGTGGAGATTCCCTGAATAGTGATGAAGGGGATGTGTCCTGGATGGAAGAACAACTATCTTACTTTTGTGATAAATGCCAAAAATGGATATCAGCCAGTAAGAACCTTTTTTTTCCCTTTCATTTTCTAAAGCTTAGAATTTTTTTTCTTAGAAAAAAAGTAACTGTAATTGAAAACTAAATGAAAATACTTTATTGATATTAACTTCATTGACTGAACAGAAATTACAATTTTTTTTTTAGTGAGGCAATCGGGGTTAAGTGATGAACTTATAATTTTCTAGGACACTTTCATAGTAATATAGGTTCAAGTAATATGTTAGTGTTACTTTTCTTTGAATCTTTTGGTAACAATTGTTTCACAAATCAAACATCACACTTTATTAAGTAGTTACATATCCTAATGTGGAGATAGGGCTCCTTCTGTTGGACTCTAGAGTAGTATTGTATCTTAAATGGGACAAAAATTATTTTGTTATATTGTAACTTAGCTTAAATCAATTTTTTTCCGTGCACACAATAATGAAAAAGTTTCAAGGTGAAAGGTTGGCATCATAGGGACCCCATTCTACCACTGGAAGAGTTTAAGATCAAAGGAACTAGGTAGGAAAAATGAACTGATAAAGTACGACTCAACTATTTTGGCTCCCGTTATGTGGAAAAACTAAAAAAAGATTGTGTTTGTCTTTTACTTTGTTTTAGGTCAACTGAGGGAACAGCTCAGTTACCTCAAAGGTGATAACTTTTTTAGATTTACTTGTTCAGATTGTTCAGAAGATGGTAAAGAGCAATTTGAGAGACTGAGATTGACATGGCAACAAGTAAGTAAAAATCTGTTATAGAAAAGTGACAGTAGTATCTTGTGAAAATTTGGTTCATATTATGGAAATAATATTATTAAAACAAAGAATTCTAGGTAATTGAAGAAATTTACTTCAGGAATTTTGGAGTAGTTTCATTATAAAAATGGTAAAACATGCATATCTTAACAGTTCTGGTCCTGTCTTTTCCTGGATAATGAAAGAGTTGAACTAGTTCATCTCTAAGTTCCTTTTACTTTTAAATCCCATGATACTGCATTCTTCTTTTGCCTTGAAAAGAACTGTATTTAATATCCTGCTCTCTCCACAGTGGCTCTTCAAACCTTTTCATCCCTCAGGCTTCCTATGGCAACCCCCCCCCCGCCTTCAGCTGAGAGCTTTGCTTCATATTTTGCTGAAAAAAAATGAAAACCACTCACAATGAACTTTCTACCCTTTTTCTCATTGCAAATTACTCGTGTTCCTTCTACCACTAACTTTTCCTTCACCCCTCTCTCACAAGTTGAGGTGACCTTAGTCCTTACCAGGGCTAACCCCTGTGTTTTAAGTGATTGCATTCCATCCTGTCTCCAACAGATTGTCCCCTGTCATCTCAGTACTATCACTTATTTTCAATCTCTCCCTGCTTATTCCTCATTCTGTATTTCCTACAAACATGCCCATATATCCCCTCCTCCTAAAAAACCCTTACTTTTTCCTTCCATTTTTGCTAATCATCTTCCTATCTCTTCTGCCCTTTGTGGCTAAACTGCTTGAAAAGGAGATGCCTTCACAGTGCAACTTCCTACCTTATAATTCCACTGAAACTGCTTTCTCCAAATTTACCAATGATTGGATGCCAAATCCAATGACCTTTTCTAAATCCTTATTTTCCTTGACCTCTCTGCAGCTTGACATTGTTGATCATCCCCTCTTCTTTGATACTCTCTTCTCCAGGTTTTCTGGATAAGACTGTCCTGATTTTCCTTCTATCTGTTCAACTGCTATCAGTCACCTTTTCTGGATCCTGTTTCAAATATGCCCTGTAACCATAGGTGTTCCTTCTCTTCTAGTTCCTCTCCTTCCTCTAAACTACTTTCACTTCGTGATCTCATCAGCTCCCGTGAATTTAATTATCATCTCTATGATGATGATTCTCAGATCTACCCATCCTGCCTCAACATTTTGACTGACCTTTAGTCTTGCATCTCCAACTGCCTATCAGACATCTCAAACTGGACGTCCAGTAGACATCTTAAACTCAACATATCTGAAGCAGAGCTCAGTATTTTCCCCTCTTAACATTCTCTATTACTGTGGAGAGTAACACCATCCTCCTAATTCCTCATGCTTACAATCTAGGAGTCATCTGGATTCCTCACTCCCTCCTCCCTGGTATCCAATCTGTTGCCAAGATGTGTGGATTTCTCCTTTGTAACACCTCTCAAATATGCTCACCTTCTCTTTTCTGATGCTGCCCCAACTCTGGTGCAGGCCCTTATCATCTCACATCTTGGACATTGCAGTAACCTTCTGGTGAATCTGCCTATCTTGAGTTACTCCTTGCTCCAATCCATCATCTATTCAGCCACTAAAGTGATTTTCCTGAAATGCAAGTCTGACCACGTCGTTTACTTAATAAAAGCCTGTGGCTCCTTGTCACTCTGGCTCCATTACAACATCTTCTGGCATTCAGAGCCTTTCATAATCTAGCACCCTTCTACCTACTCCGTGCCATATGCCCTTCAGTCCAGTAACACTGGCTCCTGGTTGTTGCAGGCAGAAGGCAATCCATCTCCCAGCTTTGGTTTTTCACTATGCTGGGAACACTTTTCCTCCTCCTATCTATCTGCTAACTTCCCTAGCTTCTTTTAAGTCAGAACTAAAATCCTGCCTTCTGCTAGAAGCCTTCCCTAGGTCCTCTTAATTTTAGTGCCTTTCCTTTGTTAGTTATTTTCTGTTTATCCTGTATATATCTTGTTGTATATTTTTTTTGTTGTTTTCCCCCATTAGATTGTGAGCTCCTTTAGGATGAGGACTGTCATTTGCCTCTTTTTGTATCCCTAGTGCTTAGCTCAGTGCCTGATATTTAATAGATTCTTAATAAATGTTAATTGATTGAACTGTACAAAATGTTTGCTCTTAAAAATGTAAATACTTCAATTTGGAGATTTCATGGAAGACCCCTAAAAAGATTCTTTTCTCATGTAAATGCCATCCTGTGATTTTAATGAAAAATGTAGTTGATGTTTTTCTGACTACCATTCAAAAAACAAAAGTTTTTGTTTTAGGGGAAAAATGGGAAGAATAAAGAAATATGATAGCCTACAATCTATTATAAATATGATTACATGATTAGTCAGATTCTTGTGTTGTATTTAATGCTGTTTATCTAATATTGTACATAAGTAGTCTCACCAAAGATGTAGTTTGCAACTCCTTTCTTCCTGCTTGGGTTGTGTCACACTTGTCCCCAAACTCCTTTAATTTTCCACAGAGGGATCTACCTCACATGCTTAAGGCTTTCCTCAATTCAAAATTTCAAAATCCCTCTATGAAATCCTTATTAAAATTTATCAGCAGGACATTGTTTTTTTTTTTTTTTGAAAGAAAATAATAACAATTTAAATTCTATTTACATTGCTTTAGAATGTAGAGCTGGAAGGAGCCTTAAAGATCTAGTTCATCCCCACCTTTTTATTGATGCAGAAACTCTAGAGAAGGGTTTAATGACTTGCTAAAGGTATTACAGGCAGCAGAAAGAAGCACAACTAATCTATCCCTCTGAGCTACACTTGTACCTTTTCTGGAGGTTGGAATAGCAACTAACTGTTTTAATGTAAAAAGAGTGCCTCACATATCCTTTTGTTCTAGCTTTTGCTGATATAATAGCACATAGGAGAGACAGAGTGGTGTAGTAGAAAGAATACCACTTTGGATTTGCAGAAGACTTTGAGCTGAAACTAACTTATTAAATTGTGTACTCTGGGGGCATTTTGGCCAGCATAAATAGTGAAAGTCATAGTGGAAATTTTTTTTCCTCCTTACATTAAAGTCTCAGCAGTGTACCTTTGATATCTGATTTATTTGGATAGTTGCAGTAACTCTTAGCTGATTATATTGTTTTAAAGTGGTTCAAGACATCTCTTGTCTTTCGATTGTTCTTTGCTGTTCCTGTTGGATTTGAGCCACTGGCTTGCAGCATATGTGAAGTGATGATGAAGTTTATCCATTCTCTGAGTGTGCTGCTCTGCCCTTCCTGCAGTTCTCAGCTCCTGTTCTAGGAACTGAGTTATGTAACCTCCAGATGCCCTCCAGACTTGCAGTGTTCTACTGTAGATGGTAGGTGTGTGTGGTGGTCTTACTAGTAGGAAGGGATAGTGTCAGCAGGGATGGAACCTTATCTGTTTAGGGTCCCATCTTGCCAAGACGAATGACTGGTGTCTGATCACATGCTGCAGCCTTTAAGCTGTTTCTTTGATAATGACCCTACATCTGAGTTGTGAGTTCTTTGAGAAGTTCTTCGGTCATTGTTCTCCTTACATATGGGTGAGAAACTTTTTTCAGTCATCTGTGCCATCATCAGGCTTATGTTTTGTCTGTAGATTCCATTAATCAGTTTCTCTTACAAGTAGGTAAGGAGTAGGCAGAAAGTTTGAGTATTTGGTATAGTGTAAAGAGTGCTGGACTACAAGCTAGAGACTTGAATTCTAATTAGAGCAAGTTCTTTGAGGACCTTAGTTTGAACT